AAACATATTTGTTCTATTCAGTAAACTACCTCATGAACCCACTCAAGTGTATTTCAACAAAATGAAAAATAATTTTTTAAGTAAAATCTGTAACGAACTTAAGTGTCTATGTCTCAGATAAAGTTTCTTGGTTACTCTTTTACCCCAACTTCCTCATTATATTTCTTTTTCTTTTTTTAAAGAATTTTGTATTTTTTTTCACAGTTCAAGTTTTTTTATTGTAGCACTTATAGTTTTATTTTATTCTCTTTTCAATGTGATGTTGAATCCAACACGCAGGGTAACTTATAAAGTGAACTTATCACTTTTCAATCGAAATGCATGTACAACGCAATACTTTCCCTTTCATCACGGTGTAATCATGCGTCACAGGGTGTTGTTTTCTACTTGTGTGTCTTTCTATTTATATTGTATAGAATATTATGAAAAAATATATATTAATTTCGTCCCTTAGAATTCTTCCTGGTTTGACTTGGATCGACGTTTATGAAAGTGAGAATAAATTGTAAATGTATGGTTGTGGTTGAGTAAGAAAAAAAGTAAATGAATCTTAGTCACACAAAACTTTCCAAAAAGATAAATGAAAAGAATTTTTTTAGACGTCACTAAATGGTAAGTGAGAAGAATTTTATGGGACGAAGGGAGTATCCACCTTTATGTTATACTTGATTTTCTTTAAAGTAAATCTTTTAGTAACATTCAGTACTTCATTATTGATGTAAAGTATTAATTTTTTTTTGAACGGAAACTTGCCTCTATTCATATCATAAGTTTCAGGATCATTACATTAGTCAAAGGAAAAACAAATCTATCACCAACTAAACTTCAACAACTACGACTGTAAACCCTATGATCAGACTTAGAGACGGCCACCCCTGAAAGAGCAACACGAATAGCTAACCATGCAGCGGGCTTGACACAACCATCTATGTTCCCATAGATCCAAACATACCTAACGACATAAAAAGAGGCTAAATTCCCAAACAAACTGACAAACCTAACAATATAGACAGTAATCAGAAAACAAATGAAAATAATAAAAGAGCTAATAGGAGGAGAACGAAACATGAAAAAAACTAAATATGCAAAACAAGTTTCTTGAACCCTAGCACCTCGTTCATCCCCTGGTGGTGGTTCAGGCGGAGGTCGGACCATCGCTATGATTGTTAACACGAACAAGGCACAACTCCTGCCTGTAGCTCGATTGATTCCATGACGCGCAACCTCCGTCTGTCCCGCAATTTCTTCCCCTCTGGATGCCTCCCTTTCTGCCTCCCTTGGCTCCCGCAACTCCTTCTCCATTGGCCGCCACAACATGCCTAACGATATTCCTGCGAACAATTCCTTCTCTGCTAACCTAATCGTCGCTCCAAAGGACGACTAAATCCAAACGCCGCACACAAGACAGCAAAAATTGGAACCCTTATGCAAGGGAGATGATCGCTCTTCACTTAGGTTTTTTTAGAACTATAGGATTTAAATGTTTCAAAAGATGTAAAGTATTGATATTAATGACTTTTTCTTTGGTGTTTAACTTGTTCTTAAACCTTAGCTTATAAAATGCCCACATATTTGTTGTTACAACCAATGGATAGTAGGTATTTACATCCAAATGAATTGCTTGTATTAAATCATTTTTCATTAGAAACATAAAGTAGTTGTAGCAATAGAAAGTATGTGAAAGACAGAAAGAGTGTTTTATGAGGAAAAAACTAAACGTTGTAGAAGTAAAAATGAAATGTTTATAATAAACTACTACGTATTTTCATTAGAAATAGAAAGTAGTTATACTGAGAGCGAGAGAATGTGGAAAACGATTCTATGAGAAAGAAAATACGAAGTAAACAATTGAGAATGTCATCTTAGTTTTTAGATACTTCTCTAAGAAGAAATTATTATGTGTTTACAAAATATTGACCATGACATTTTGTCAAATACTTTGTGGAGCAAAACTAAGTCTAAGTGGTGGTCAATTGAAGCACTTATAATTCAAATCAAAATAAGGGTAGTAATATTGAATAGTGATATGTATAATTGTAGGTTAGAAAACAGAGAGTGAATAAGAAGCGGAAGCCAATTCAGTTAAAGATAAAATTTGTAAGCCTAATTTTATTTGGGAAAGTGAATGATGAAGGAATATGCTATTATCAAGAGATAAATGAATTGCAAGTGGATTAAATAATTTAAAAGAGAGAAAAAAGAGTACCTTGTTTAAGGAATATAGTTGGAGTTGGACGGAAATAACACGTATCAGAGGAAGATGAACGGGAAAGAACTATCTAACTTTAGCTCTGCCTTATTATAGAAGCAAAGATATTCAAAATATATGTTTTCAATTTTATATTTTATCGAGTCTAAAAGTTGAATTAAAGAGAAGTCAAATGTAACAAGAACAAATCTAGTGATGAAAGCTTGGGCATTAACACAATATATAACATTGAATTCTACAAAAATATATACTACGTATAACATTGAATAATAGTAAGAGGGAAGATATTTTGAACCTCTCTTTGAAGTCTCGCTTTATATATACATAGTAATGGTGCATTTAATTGTAATACAAATACAATATGGTAAGCTTTTAGTTGAAATATTACACTAAAAATTGATAATAAAACACTAATAGGAAAATAAATTAAAAATTAAAGAAAAATGGGTAAAAAAGGCGATATACATAGTATATTACATCAACATTCAACATAAAGACATCTTGATTAATTGTGTCAAATACGTAAGCTCAAACAAAACAATAAAAATAGGCTCGAATCTTGATTTTAGATATACAACATTATGATGTCATCAAATTAGCTTACTACCTATACATATAGAGACATCACTAGAACTATTCAAAAGGAGGAATAGAATATGTGATAACTATGAAGTGAGGCATTCAATCAAATTGGTTAAGGACGTTCTCACATGTTATGTTCACGTGATTTTTTGATACATGAATGAAGAAATAAAGGATAGTCGAGAAGCCTGACTGCCAAATTCATTATCAAATTGTACCTTCAAAGTTCCAACAAAGCTCTACAAAACATACACACAAAGACTAAATAATGGCAGTAGTTACATGGTATTTGCAACACAATATTGTTCATACTTAACTTAATCTCCCCCATGGTCTTCGTCGTCATCAATGCATATCACGTTAGGTGTTGGTTTAGGCGTAATGAGATTATATATAGAATCATGCATCTTCTTTTATTCTTTTGAACAGATAGGATAAAAAATCAAACACAGTTCAACTTACAAAACTTCGAGTGCTTTTATAAATCAGGTGCTTGTTTAGGTTTTATGAGATTATACATAAAATCATACATCCTTTTTGTTCTTCTCGATAAATAAGATATAACATTAAGGACACTTCAACTCACAAAACTTCGGGTGCAAAATATCCTACAATAAAAATAAAAGTAAAATATATGAGGTCACCATAAATAGCTTAAATAGCTAATGCAAATCTCTGAAGTCCAATTTATTTAAGTACTTACATGAGTTGATTTAAAAAAAAAGTACTTGCATGAGTTTAGATATTGATGTGAGATAGACATAGGGGGTGTTTGGTTGAGACCCAAACAACCATTTTTGGCTGATTTGACCATTAGTTCGCCTTTTGACCATCTGAATCAACTAAAGAAGGTGTTTGATTAATGGCTTTTTCATTTAGCTTTTTGCTTCAAACAGCCAAAATAGCAAACGCTAGCAAATATGGCGTTTAGAATTGGCTGATCCAATAGAAAACGAAACCTTCCTCTACCCGCGGTCGTCTCTCTTGAATAAGGGTTCCAGTTTTTGCCGTCTTGTGTGCGGCGTTTAGATTTAGTCATCCTTTGAAGCGGCGATTAGGTTAGTAGAGAAGGAATTGTTCACAGGAACATTGTTAGCCGTGCTGTGGCGGCCGATGGAGAAGGAGTTGCAGGAGCCAAGGGAGGGAGAAAGGGAGGTGTCCAAAGGGGCTGAAATTGCGGGGCAGACGGCGGTTGCACACCAGGGAATCAATCGAGCGACGAGCGGGAGATGTGCCTTGTTTGTGTCAACAATCATAGCGATGATCCGGCCTCCTCCTGAACCACCGCCAGGGGATGAACGAGGTGCTATAGTTCAAGGCACTTGTTTTGCTTATTTAGTTTTTTTCTTGTATCGTCCTCCTCCTATTAGTTTTTATTATTTTATCATTTGGTTTCTTGTTACCGTCTATGTTGTTAGGTTTGACGATTTGTTTGGGAATTTAGCCTCCTTTTATGTCATTGGGTATGTTTGGATCTATGAGAACAGAGATGGATGTGTCAAGCTCGCTTCATGGTTAGCGATTCGTGTTGCTCTTTCAGGGGTGACTGTCTCTAAGTCTGATCATAGGATTTACAGTCGTAGTTGTTGGAGTTTAGTTGGTGTTAGATTTGTTTTAACCCATGTAACTCTCACTCAATTAAGCCCTGTAACCGGCCAGATCCCTAAAGAATTTTTAAATCCTCATTCATCGGTAGATGACAACCTTTCAAACAAGGCTAACCTAACTCCATAATCCGTCCGCTCTGTATTTAAAGATGTCTCGGGCTTCTCAAAAATTACAAGAATTCCATCAAATAGCATCTCTCCAGAGACATCATTGATCTCTATTCTCGTCAAAGTTGATTGCATCTCTATTCATATCATAAGTTTCAGGATCATTACATCAATCAATTAAACTCCAATTACATTAATAATAATCACAAATTCATATGGTATGTGCACGAGTGTAGTAAGTAAACAAAAAAAAAAATTAATAGAAGTCCTTTAAAATCATTTCACAAATTAATAGAAGTTCAAAAATTAATAATGAACACTCATATAACCAAACACCATTTTATAAACTGTCAATGTTATCACTAATCAAAACAGTCAACAGAACACCTGCTATCATCAATCAGCTAACATTCATTGATCATTTAGGACAATTTCTTTAGTATTTAATATTCATTGATCAATTATTATTATTACTACAATTATTATTGGATATTGTTATTATCTTCCTCAATTTGGTATTTTGACAAAGTAAACCCTGCCCAACAAGTACAGCACCGTAGACTAGGCGAGACTCTTCTTCATCTTCCTAGATGGATCTGTAATTATTTTCCATCATCTCTACTCTCAAGCTTCGTTAAGTTCAATCAATCACTCCCAAAACCGATCCAACTTCAAAATTGTATTTTGTTCAAACATTTAGCTTCGGCAGCAGTTGTAGCAACCTAGAAGAAGAAAGGTCTGGTTTTCTCAGCATTTTGATGGGTGTCAGCGAGAATCAGTGTCTACAGTGAAATCCTGGGAGCTAAAGTAGAATTATGAGGACACCGAGCTGTTCAGTGTGCCAGAATTCTTATAACGAGGAGGACCGATGCCCGTTGTTGCTCCAATGCGGCCATGGATACTGTAGGGAGTGCCTTTCCAGGCTGTTCTCTTCGTCTCCGGACACCAATCTATCGTGTCCCCGCTGCCGCCACGTGTCCCTCGTTGGCAACTCTGTCAACGCACTTAAGAAGAATTACGCAATCCTTGCTCTGATCCGCGATTCCACAGCCAAGGATTCTAGCGACGATGAAGGTGAGGAGGAGGATGCGGAGGACGGGGAGGACGGGCCAGAGTCTCTTCGAGAAAATGGAGGAGGCAGGGAGGAGCGGGAGATGGGCCGGAGGCGTACATCACACTCAGCAGCTTTGAGTACTGGATGCAGAGTTGTAGCTGGTGAGAGGGTAGAGCTAAGTGCCCACCCAGAGGTGAGACTAATTAGGAGAATATGCGGAGAGGCTAGGAAGCCTGGGGTGGAGATTTGGGCGGCAGTTTTATTGGGCGACCATGCTGGTGGTAGACGGGAAAGATGCCGTCATAGAGCTGTGGTTAAGAAGGTGACGATAGGGGAGGAAATGGATCCAGTTTGGGTGCAGGAGAAGCTGGAGACTTTGAAGAGGGCGTCCATGTGGTGTAGAAATGTGTGTGCTTTTCACGGTGTAACAAAGATTGATAGCAGTCTGTGTTTGGTTATGGATAGATGCAAGGGTTCTGTCCAGACTGAGATGCAACGGAATGAAGGCCGACTCACACTTGAGCAAATCCTCAGGTATGTCTTTTCCTCCTGAAATTTCATATTTACTAGAGGCTGTTATGTAAGAAGTATGCTTTTATACATTGGCTCCAAGCAATATTCTGTTGACCTTCTCACTTGTCTAGGCTGTTTAAAAAAAGCTGATTGGAGAATCGTAAGGGTTCCTACTTCCTACACATTACTTTTGCATATTTAACCATTTCAATAGGTTCTTGAGATTGCAGAGAGTCAGTTTATAACGCAATTCATGGAGAGCCTTGGTGATGCCCTTAAAATATTTATAACGGCTTTAATTGTTTTGATTGTTCACTTTAATACCTTCGTCTAATTAATCAATTCTTCATTGTCATCGTTAAAGTTTGGAATTCAATAGTGACATTTCCTGTGGTGTTGTGTAATGACTAGACCATTTGTAAGCGTCAAATACTGACATGGGATGTGCATACATAATTATTGAAAAAACAAGCACACCTGACTGTTTTCTTATCGTTGGATGGCAAGTTTTTTATGACATCATTAGAAATATTCATTTTTCTCACTTGGGTGACATGATGTTTGGTGATTTACCACATAGAAATGATTCAGTAACAACTTTGCACTTCATTTACGAGTGTCATGCATACTTTAACTTTCCTACGTTGGAGTCACACTGCTTTAGGGTTCATTTATGTTGGACTTTTATGATGTTCTACTTATATAATGTGTCTGAGAACTCATTTCAGATTTAAAGACCTTAAATAGTTAATTGACTTAATTGTACATCATTAAGCATACTCCTTAGTGCCTTCTTGTCTAAGTAATCTCTGAATTCCTTTTACTCTTTTAGGCCATTGGAAAATGTAAACCAATGTTATTCATCCCAAAGAGAAAACTTCTACCCCTCCTCTTGCACCTTTACGAATTAGAAAGCTTGATTACCAAATCACTTGTTACCCAGCAGCTAATACATTAAATACACACATTCTCTCGCATTTAAAAGGCTTGCATATTTACTGTAATGCCAACCATGAGAAAAAGAGGTGTGTACATGAAAAATGAAATTAAAGTGATGTTCAACTCGCACACAGTTAAATGGTTTCCATGTAGGCATGACCCAGACTTCCGAGGTTTTCTATTAGGAGCCAAGGTTAAGTGGCACCACCTTCTGGTTAGGGGCCCACCCCAAATTCGATATTTTTCTTTTCTTGATGTTAGAACTTTTACTATAAAAATCGTTTGGCTGAATTATTATGGCCTTTTTCCATGCATATTACTAAATTAAATTCAAAAGACAAAAATATGACTTATTTTAAAAAAATTCAAAAAACTGACATATTTAGTGACTAGTTCTCATCTACCAGGGACTTGTCACTCTGAAATACACTATAGTGACTTTTGTCCAATTACTCGTACACAGTGACTAGTCATATTTTTGTCCAAAAAACATAAGTATTGGTATTTTTGTCCGGGAAAACTCTGTTAGTAATATACATGCCATTTTTTCAATTATTATCCCAGCCCACTCGAAATTCAAAATTGTAGAAACCGGGTTACACACATGATTCCCTGTGTCCCTATGGTGACTTGACCTCTTTAATATATCAGTGTAGATGAGGGATCTTACAACTTGGACTACACTTTGTTGTGAGGCACACCTAATATTTTAGTGGTTTAAAGTTCTAAGACTACTTATACCAAAACAGTTGTTTTGCAATATATTCATAAAAGTAGACATCGTTTGGATCCTATATTTGGTGGAAATGAATTGTTGGATTCAACTATTTTGTCTTATAAGTTATAACTATATATAGTTATTTCCGAAGCATAAATTTTATTATCTAAACTATAATATGTCTGTGTGTGTAGAAAATTGATAACATCATAACAATACGAGTAACAAAGGTTGACGAGAAAATATTATTAAATCTATATTTTCTAGATCCTAACTAACTCCTATATAGGTTCTTAGGCGCTAGGCGTTGTCTTTCGCTAGCTTAGCACCTAGTGCCTTTTAAAACATGATGGTACTAAGTTGTTTTTCCCCTCTTTTTTGTATGCTCATCTTAAAAGAAATACAATACATTAATGTCAATGTGGTGTTTCAATACCTATCTTTGGAGTATACGCATACCTATTATTTGAAGCAGCATAGCACCAGAGTCACCAAATCTTAATGTTCCATGTTCGATACTCTAGATGTGGCTTTCTAAGAATTACCTTGTCTTGATGTGCCATTGGATAATTAACTGCAGATATGGGGCAGATATTGCTCGTGGTGTGGCTGAACTACATGCAGCTGGTGTTGTTTGTATGAATATAAAACCATCAAATCTTCTATTAGATGTAAATGGTCATGCAATGGTTTCAGACTATGGACTTCCAGCAATTCTTAAGAAACCTGCTTGTCGTAAGGCTCAGTTAGACTCGGAGTCTTCAAGAGTCCATTCATGCATGGATTGTACAATGCTTAGCCCTAACTACACGGCTCCTGAAGCTTGGGAGCCAGGAAAGAAATCATTGAACCTTTTCTGGGATGGTTCCATTGGAATATCTCCAGAGTCGGATGCGTGGAGCTTTGGTTGCACATTGGTGGAAATGTGTACTGGTTCAATTCCGTATGTGAACCTACCTTCCCTGGTTTTGTGTTCATCATCTTAAGTTTTCTTACTGCGAGTAATACTATGGCTTGATACACAATGGCCAATCTTAATGCAGGTGGGCTGGTTTAAGCACAGAAGAAATATATCAGGCTGTTGTGAAGGCACGCAAACAACCTCCTCAGTATGCAGGTGTCGTGGGTGTCGGCATTCCTCCAGAGTTGTGGAAGATGATTGGTGAATGTTTGCAATTCAAAGCATCAAGAAGGCCATCCTTTAATGCAATGTTGGCAATATTTCTTCGTCACTTGCAAGGGATTCCTCGTAGTCCTCCTGCTAGCCCAGATAAGTAAGAACTTTCTGTTGAATTTTTCCCTTGTTAACAATTTAATATGGAGTATGATTTTTTCCAGAATGGCTTTGGGACTTGATATTCAAATCCGCAGCTTGTACAATTACTATCTTAGTATATTGCGGTCTACGCTGTGTGGAATGTTCAAATTATTCTATTTATGAACAAAACACCACTGTGCTTGTGAGAAGCTTATGTATTTATTGTTTTGTGCTGTTTTTTCGTCTTCTTCTTTTCTTGTTGCTTAGACACATCTACTCTACCATTAAAAATGCAGCAACTTTAATCAGTATTCTGGAACAAATGGGATGGATCCCCCTCCAACCTCAGATGTGGAGGTTTCCTTGGATGTTTCCAGTCTTCTTCTGCATAGACTTGTTTCTGAAGGGAATTTGAATGGAGTTCGGTTGGTCTTCTTACTGTATATTCCTTCAGTAACAGGTGGTATATATCTTTTCACTGTGATTAAACATTTTGCTATCTATGCTTTGCATGCAGAACATTACTCAGCAAGACTCACAGAGGACAAAGTGGCAACTCGGTACGTTCTATACTTGACACACAAAATCCTGATGGTCAAACTGCTCTCCATCTTGCTTGTAGACGTGGTAGCGTGGAACTTGTTGAGGCTATACTAGAATATCCGGAAGCCAATGTTGATGTATTGGACAAAGATGGTGATCCTCCACTTGTATTTGCTTTGGCAGCTGGATCGCCTGATTGTGTTCGTGCTCTTATCAAGAGACATGCAAATGTCAGATCTAAATTAAGGGAGGGACTCGGCCCGTCTGTTGCCCATGTTTGTGCTTACCATGGACAACCAGATTGCATGCGTGTAGGTTTCTTATTTTTGCATATATATTTAAACAAAAGTTACAAACATTATTGGATTGGATGAGAGTATGAATTTAGAGAGAGCAAAGTGGAGGGAGAATATTCGTGTGGATTATTGATGTCTTTTTATCTTTTTTATCCTTTTATCTTTTTCTTTATCTTTCATATGTTCTTTATCCTTTTATCCTTTTTATCTTATATATTTTTTATTGTATTTATCTTATCATTTTTATCTTTATCTTATATATTTATCATCATATTATCTTCATCTTATTTTTTTATCTTACCTTATCCTTTTATCTTTCTTATCTTTTTATCTTTCTCATCTCTTTAGCTCCAAATTCTTTTGGGATTAAGGCTTGGATGTTGTTGTTGTTGTTGTTGTTGTTGTTGTTGTATCTCTTTAGCTCCAATTTCATGTGTTGATTCATGTTAGCTAACTCCAAACTCTTTTGGGACCAAGGCTTAGTGTGAAACAAAAGTTACAAACTGCTCTCCATTATCAATTATGTATGTAAAAAACAATAGATCTAGTTTTTCTTTATAATTTTTTTCCATGTTTTATAAGGGGTTTACAGACTTACGGAGTAGTAGTAAAAGTGTAAAAAAACTGTGCTAGTGAGGTTGTTGCTTGTATTATATCATTTATCAGCCTCATTCAATCACTTTATCTCATTTAAACAGGAACTATTACTGGCGGGAGCTGATCCGAATGCAGTTGACGATGAAGGGGAATCTGTGCTTCATAGAGCCGTTTCTAAAAAATTCGTAGACTGTGCTATTATAATTTTGGAAAATGGAGGCTGTAAATCGATGTGCATCTTAAACTCCAAAAGTTTGACGTAAGTGCATATGCCTTTTTATTGTTGTTTTGTTTAACAGTAACTTCTGATGAGCTTCATGGATGATTTAACTTCTTAATCTGTTATTATTTCTCCAAGTTAAAAGTCTAAACTAATTCCTTTTTCTGAACTATAGGATGTGTACGCCTTCAAATTATTAATCTACACTTAGAAATCAATTGCTAGACGAGGCAGAGAGAGAGGAAATGCTAGTCTGTTAACGAAACTAGAAAGATATCTATTTAACTCACTGACAAACCTGAACCTCCTGAGTTTGCCTGTTAGCAAATGTTCTCTACCTTGGCATTACCACTTTTATTTACTCAATAATTGTCTGTATTTTTTTCATATAGGCTATGTTATTTAATTGGTGAGTACTCGCTGAGTACTTGATACTTGGCTCTAGATCTTGCCTAGTTGTCGACCTTCTCAGTCCAATATGAAAACCCAAGTTACATGGCAATTTTAGTGACTTGGTGATTATGATTACTCAATGAGTAACTGAGCCATAGTTATATGTTGAAAGATTGTAAATTAAAGTTCAGACAATGGTACAGTTAAAGAGAACTTAGAGATTTTAATTTAATAATATACTTTTTTAAGGTTCTAGTAGTTCGTAAACCTATAGTCTCTTTCATAGTGAGTTTGATCAGGGAGATGCTGATCTTGGACTAGATGATGATTAAATTAGGATATAGAAATTTATGATTGATTAGACATGGTGAGATCTCTATACGTTTTATGAGCTATGTTAGTTTTATGGATTAGTATTTGTTTATGTTATATATATATATATAAACATACATATACACACATGTATATCTACATATATACATACATACATATAGATATATAGATATACATACGTAGATATAATAATGATACTATGAGAGAATTTTAGCAGATATTAAAATTTTATGAATGCAATAGCCAATAGCCAATATTTCCCGAGTAACTATTTAACTACTCAGCATAAATGGTTTCATAAATATTTTCCTTTTCATGCCGATTTATCTGGTCCTCTTTATTACAAACTTAGTGCTACCCTTTTAAATCTTTTATTTAACAGACCATTGCACTTGTGCATAGCAACCTGGAATGTTGCTGTCGTTAAAAAATGGGTAGAACTTGCTTCTAAGGAAGAGGTAGCTAGTGCCATTGATATCCCAAGCCCTGTTGGAACTGCATTGTGTATGGCAGCTGCTGTCAAAAAAGATCGTGAAGCAGGTAAGACTTGCAATTGCAGTTGCTGTTATTAAGTAATTATCTAAGTGATTATTGATAGTAACTTGATATTTTTTGGACTATTACTTCCTTAACTGTATGTCTGCTTGTTTGGGTCACTCATAATGCTTGGGAAAGTGGGAAAATGCCAAGGAAAGTTATCTTCTTATGTTTGGCTTTGCTTTTGGGGAAATGCTACGAGTATTAAGTATGGTTACTTTTTATTTAAATATACCCTAAAGTGATTTAGTAGTCTTTATATAATAGACATGAAAAGCAACAAAGTGAGTATCAACAAGTATTTAAATTAAATTTATTGGGTTTTAGGCCATCTTTTATTATCTCCCACATTTTTCATTCCTTTCAATCTTTCCATAGTACTTTCCAGGACCCCAGACCCTAAACCTATCTGATGTGCTCTTTGTAGAGGGAAGAGAACTGGTAAGAGTACTTTTAGCTGCTGGATCAGATCCAACTGCCCAAGATACCCAGCACTTCCGAACAGCTCTGCACACTGCAGCTATGATAAATGATCTTGAGTTGGTCAAGGTAGGCTAGATGTGGAATGAATTGGCTTGTTGCGATAAATAAATGATTTCCAGTTCTATCAGGGACCAAAAAGTTTATGGTCAATGGTTCATGAATTGTTGGTGTCAGCCTTTTCTAATTTAAGTAGCACTGGTAATTTTTTTTAGATAATTCTCGACTCTGGAGTTGATGTAAATATCAGGAATGTGCATAATACCATACCTCTTCATGTGGCACTGAATAGAGGTGCAAAATCATGTGTTGGGTTGCTTCTATCGGCTGGGGCAAATTGCAACTTGCAGGTCCGTGACTACAACAATAACAGTACACTTAAAATTGTTACTTTTATAGACATTATTATTATGCACTTGATTTTTTCTGTCATGATCTAATATGTGCCTATGTGGCACTGTGGCAGTATGGATAATTGGATACATCCTTTCAATAAAAATCCATGCATTCTGATAGTTCACATGCATCACATGATCACCTGGTTTTCTCTTCATAGATTTTCATTCCTCCAATATGCAAATTTTCATTTCTCGTCAATACCAGGACGATGAGGGAGACAATGCTTTCCACATTGCAGCTTTTTCAGCAAATATGATACGTGAGAATCTCGAGTGGATTGTCATAATGCTCAGGAATCCTGATAGTGCTGTTGAAGCTAGAAATCACAGGTGAGTGTGAGACCCAACAATGTTATTGATACTTAAATCGCCGTTGGCTTTTTGATAATGCTTTACCCAGAATCATGGATGGTCTATTCTTGTGACTTGGTTGTACATTATTTGTGAATCATTGCAGTGGCAAGACACTACAGGACTACTTGGAGGCTCTGCCTCGGGAATGGATATCTGAAGATTTGATGGAGTCTCTCATGGAGAAGGGTATTTATTTGTCTCCGACCGTGTAAGAAGTTGCTCTGATATATATCCCCGACTTCTTATCATATAATTTTGTTTGAGTTCGCAAACATATTGATTTTGATTTGTGATTTAAATATGTTCCATGGGATATGTATGTAGATATGGTATAGGAGATTGGGTGAAATTTAAGAGATGCGTCACGGAACCGAACTATGGATGGCAAGGTGCAAATCATAAAAGTGTGGGTTTTGTGCAAAATATCCTGGACAAGGATAGCCTCGTTGTTTCATTTTGTTCTGGAGAAGCTGCCAGAGTACTAGCAGATGAAGTTGTCAAAGTTATTCCATTAGACAGGGGGCATCATGTACGGCTTAAGCCTGATGTCAAAGAACCAAGGTTAATCTTTCTCCATTACTATGCTGCTAAGTGCTATCTGCCTCTTCTGTATTGCATACCATTTTGCAAGGAAGTGTTTCCTTCATTTCTTATTCACATTTGGCCTTCATTTCTTCATTGTGAATTGTGATTACTCTTTGCCGATGCTGTAAAAACTTTGGGCGCCCACAAGCTGACGGAGTGGGGCCTAGCACCGAGTTGGTGCTTAATGGGGTTATGCTTGTATTAATTTTTAAAACAATGCTCTCTTCTAGATAAAGTTCTGTCATGATTGAAGTAGAGCCTGGTTAATTCTGTGAAGACATGAGAATTATAATATGTTAATAATTTATCATCTATCATATTTGCTGCAGATTTGGTTGGCGTGGCCAGGCACGTGACAGTATCGGAACCGTACTATGTGTAGATGATGATGGTGTTCTACGTGTTGGGTTTCCTGGAGCATCCAGGGGATGGAAAGCTGACCCTGCAGAAATGGAACGGGTAGAGGAGTTCCAGGTTGGGGATTGGGTTCGTATACGTCCCAACCTGACATCAGCTAAACATGGATTAGGACCTGTAAGTCCCGGAAGCATTGGTATAGTTTACTGCATACGACCAGATAACAGTCTCTTGTTGGAGCTTTGCTACCTTCCTCACCCTTGGCACTGTGAGCCAGAGGAAGTTGAACCAGTTGAACCATTCAGAGTAAGATGATATATATACATATATTATACGCGCACAAACACACACTTCTCAAATGTGGATCAATTGTTTTTCCTTCCTGTTTCATTATTTACTTTGAGTCCTCTTCTTCTTTAGATCCATGATCGGGTCTGTGTGAAACGATCTGTTGCTGAGCCAAGATATGCTTGGGGTGGCGAAACACATCACAGTGTCGGAAAAGTAGTTGACATAGAGGCTGACGGTCTGTTGATTATTGAAATTCCCAACAGGCCTATACCGTGGCAGGCGGATCCTTCTGACATCGAAAAGGTTGAGGATTTCAAGGTATAGCTTGTGTTACAACAGTTTTTTTCGCAATTGGCTGGAGCATCCAAAAGTGTTTTAAAATATAATTTATTTGTAATTTTTAAAAGATAATATAAAACAAAATGAGGGTATATAAGCTTCATTTCCTTTCAGTCTAACCACAAAAGTAGGTTGCGCAATATTTTTTTTAGTTATCAACCTTTTCAATGAATTGAAAATAAATCAGCGTTGGGTAGAAAACCTAGTCGAAGACATAAGATTTCGCAAAATGGGCACTTCGTATGAGATATATTTTCATTTCTCTTACCATAACCCAGGTAGGTGGCTGGGTCAAAGTAAAGTCTTCAGTAACCTCACCGAAGTATGGTTGGGAGGACATAACAAGGCATAGTGTTGGTGTAATACACAGTTTGGAAGAAGACGGTGATGTGGGAATTGCCTTTTGCTTCCGTAGCAAACCATTCTGTTGTTCAGTGACAGACATTGAGAAGGCACCTCCTTTTAAAGTTGGACAAGAGATTCGTGTAATGCCATGTGTTACTCTGCCTAGACTGGGATGGTCAAACGAGACTGCAGCTACTGTTGGGAAAATTGTGAGAATTGACATGGATGGTGCTTTGAATGTAAGCTCAGTTATGTCCACTTGCTCGTATTTCTTTGGTAGAGGAAAGACCCTTCTAACATGTCTCAAACATGATCTAAATAAATTTGGCCTCTTAATCTCAACTAACGAATATGATATAAATAGATACGGCCTCTGAAGTGTAGACCTATCTGAGCATTGAATTTTCTATTTAACTGTCAGGATAATTGTTTACTAATTAATAGATTATTATATTTTAAATGCATTTTAATAAGAAATAACCATAAATTTATGACTAAAATAAAGAGTATTTACAAAAATGTGGCATATTAAGTGTAGTGACTATAGTAGTAACTTTAGTCATAGTAAATTATGTTCAATTTTACAAAAATGTGACCTTGAAGTTATTCTCATAGTAACTTTAGTCATATTTTTTTAAATATGTTTATCTCAATAATGTTTTTGAAAAGTACTCTTATAATAATCATGTAAAAAAATCATAAAAACAAGAGTTGATCAGAGTTTGTTGCCAATTATTATTCTTGTGTCTATGGTGACCTTAACTTGTCAGTCCTCAACAAGTAATTGGGTTTTCAACTCTAAATATATATTTTTTTAAATCCTTGTACAGTTTGACAAAGAACAATTGATCTTCATGCAATCCATTTGCATGTATATACATATAGTGTCGAAGCATAACTGCACTGATTTTTTGTTGGGCCCATGCATTGACATGACTGTAATAAGAACTTTTCATCTAAGTGAACATCAAAATCCCAAACCAGTTAGAGAACTGCCACGTGTCCACATAAGTTTTGGGTAATAAATCCTGTATAGTAACTCTACCATGGCATTGGTACATATTGGTCCATTAAATTGACTATCATCATTTTCATTTTTTCATTTTCATTTACCCCAGTGCCGCAAAGGCTCCCACCTACGGTGGGGTAAAGGGGGGTCCATTAAATTGACTATGAGATGATAAAATGCACTCCAAATTCATCTGGACTCACCATAGCAACTTTTTCATTATTTCCAATGGAGCCAAAGACTCGCTATTTTTTTGGCTTGGGAATATGATGGAATAAAGCAAAATGGCTCACTAAAGTGTATGTGCTTCTTTGTTACGAAGCAACTGTCAAACGATGTAATTTTTTATGCGATTTTCATTTTGGGTCATCCGGGACAGTCTCTCTGTGCTTTAGTACAAGGGTGAGGCTGCGTACATCCAACCCCCCTTACCCCAATGAAGGTGGGAGCCTTTACGGCGCTGAGGTAATGTTGTCACCATAGCAACTCCATGGTGGACTTGCTTCATTTTGAGTGGATTGGCATCCCTCAAATTGCTGCAGATCATTTCACTTGCTGACAGGGTATTTGGCTTTTGATCTTTTTAGGTTGCGGTTGCTGGGAGACAAAGCTTCTGGAAGGTGTCTCCGGGAGATGCAGACATACTTCCAGGGTTTGAAGTAGGTGATTGGGTACGCACAAAACCCACTTTGGGAACAAGACCCAGTTATGACTGGTACAGCCTTGGGAAGGAGGGCTTAGCTGTTGTACACAATGTACCGGACGCCGGTTATTTAGAACTGGCCTGTTGCTTCCGCAAAGGGAAGTTGCATACTCATCACGCTGATGTTGAAAAGGTCCGTGGCTTCCGAGTTGGTCAGCATGTTAGATTTCGGGCTGGACTTGTTGAACCTAGGTGGGGCTGGAGAGGCACTCAGCCAGATTCACAAGGTATTATAACATGCGTCAATGCTGACGGGGAGTTGAGGGTTGCATTTTTTGGTTTAAAGGGTTTCTGGAAAGGGGACCCTGCTGATCTCGAGGCAGAGCAGATGTTTGAAGTAGGGGACTGGGTGAAGTTGAGAGGGAACATACAGAGTTGGAAATCAATAGGGCCAGGGAGCATTGGTGTTGTGCAAGGCATCATTTATGAAGGAGATGAATGGGATGGAAGTATTTCTGTGGCTTTTTGTGGAGAGCAGGATAATTGGATCGGGCATCACAAAAATGTTGAAAGAGTGAAAAAGATCCTTGTTGGGCAGCGAGCTAAGGTAAAAAACTCGGTCAAACAACCAAGATTTGGGTGGTCTGGACATAGTCATCTGAATGTCGGAACTGTATCAGGAATTGATGGGGATGGGAAACTGAGAATGTATACACCAGCAGGGTCAAAATCATGGATGTTGGATCCATCAGAAGTAGAGATTGTGGAGGAAGAAGAAATTCAAATTGGTGATTGGGTTAAGGTCAGGGCGAGTGTTTCAACCCCTACACACCAATGGGGGGAGGTTTGTCACACAAGCTTAGGGGTAGTGCACCGTATAGAAGATGGTGGTGATCTCTGTGTGGCATTCTGCTTTCTGGATAGGCTATGGATTTGCAAGGCATCTGAAATGGAAAGGGTCAGACCATATAAAATTGGGGACAGGGTGAAACTCAGAGAAGGGCTGGTGGCGCCAAGATGGGGATGGGGTATGGAGACGCATGCTAGCAGAGGTCAGGTAGTTGGAGTAGACGCAAACGGCAAACTAAGGATCAAGTTCCAATGGAGAGAAGGGAGACCTTGGATTGGAGACCCTGCTGATATTGCCATTGATGAGCTTGCTCATGTACACTAGAAATATTAATAAAAATCACTCGCCCTTACCTTCCTTTTGTAGCTCGGGCGCTATACCCCCCCTTCTTCTCACAGAAGAACCAGGAAAGCAGGCACAGGCAGGACCGCAGGAGGTGATCATCGGCTCATTTGTAGTTTACACAATTCTAACTCTATTCATTGTGGGTGATGTTGCTGCATAAGCCCAGATGGAGCATTTAGTCTTTTAGTCTAGTATTATAGTATATAATACAGAGAATACATTTCTACTATGTAATTTATAAAATGTGGTTCCATTTTTGTTTTGTTTTTTATTCTCTAATTAATGCATCTTTTTTAGCGGATACGTAATTCCACGTTGTAAAGTACTCACCTGTCGGAATAGAAACTTTAATCTATTGGGATTGGTTTCAAGTTTTGAACACAACTTTACTGTCTTAAGCATTCACATGTTCAGAAAAATATTCAAGATATGGAAATAATACATCAAGAGATTTCTGAGTGAATGCTATGCAGATGTACTACCACTTTCAGGCTAAAACCTTCATCAGTTCTCCCTAGACATGTGATCATCTTTTGAAAGAGCTACATAGTTTACAGGAATGACAGCAGCAGCTTTGACACAATCTCTCCTTTCCTTAACAGCAGAGGGCACTACATGCCGAGCAGAGAGTGGTCCACGGCGACTTGGTGTGCACATGTTAGCACTTGTGCTCTGACCCAGAGGCTTCTTTCCTGTGGACTTTGAACCGTAGAGAGCCTCATGTTCAGCAACAAACTGCTCTTGGAGTCGTTTTTGTTCCTAGAGCATAAGTACATGCCATCATAATACGGAAAGAGTGATAAACCATTGTTATTCCTGCCTATTCCAGCTGTAATTAGGGTTTTAAAAGCCAAATACCCGGTTTTTGCGCTTTTCTTCCTGTTTCTCCTGCCGCAATATTGTATACTCTTCTAATGTACGAAGCAAGGGAGCCTGCAAACAGCCGAACAAACACTTGTGATTGAGTAGCTACCACTTCACAGACAAGTATTATGTGAATGAAAGAAATAAAAGCTTGCCTTGTCATATAAAAATGGCATTTCATTCTCTACCTCCCAAGCTTTTATTTTCCCTATCAAGTTTTCTACTAGAGCTGCAATAAAAGTATTGTTATCAGTGATGAGTACTTTTGAATCACAAAATTTCAAATTTTCTAGGGATCCATGTTGAAAGATATGACTGCTTAGCTTACATGGTATCTTGTTGACAAGAGCTCGCGCCTTCTCTGCACGTTTCAGATTAATGTGTGCCCCTCTCCCAGCACTGTAGCGGTTTTCATCCTGCCAAAAAAAGTGCAAGTCATCATAATGTATTATTCATCATAATGTATTAATGTTAAGTTAAATTTGCAGACCTGTTTTATTTTGAAATGCATTATAGTGGTGTGATTTTTTTGAATTACCTTTTCATATTCATCAAGCCAAATTTCCTCTTGCGATGCGTGTTTCCATTTCTCCAACTTATCCAGGATATCTCTCCTGCTCAGAGCTTGCTCTTTAGCTTTAGCAATCTGACGATCCATACTTGAGAGGAGGTCAGTCAGATCACCTATCAGAACAAATGGAGTATTTTGGTAATCATGAACTCTGTAATGTTCAATTGGTGAATAAACTGAGAAACTTGAAAAGGTTTCTTCTTTGATTAAGCAAGAGTTCCATTCCAATAGAGTTTCATTCTGCCATCTTTTACATGTCAATTAGCCTTGTAGGAAAATGGATCCAAAAAGTGTGGTGAAGATAACATATAAATACACTTATCAACCAAAGGCAGAATCAGTTCAATACTTCTGGTAAGTACATTCATCTTATGGATGCATCCGAAAAGATGTCATTCAGGAACTTCGAATATGGAATACAAGAATAAAAAGAGGAAAAGTGGTGGATGGTCTCTAATTTGAACATACTAGATTCCATAAGCTTTGTTAGTATTTGGTTAGCTGTTCCACTGTCTACATCCAGATGAACGCTCCTGTAGATTTCCTCGAGCTCATTTTGCCTCTTAAAGATCAGCTCTTTCAACTTGCTAGATTTTAGAGCAGTTAAACGCTCCACTTCAACTTCAGCCTAACAAGACAGAAATGAAACCCAGAAGGGTAGAATATAAAAATTACTGAAGTCTGGAAGAAGAAAAAGATTAATAAGGTCACACACCAATGTGCACTAAAAGTTCACAGAATCACTCAAAAAAATAAATTACCAGTTCAATAACTTCAATGGCAAGGGATCCTTGATTCAACACCTCATCCGCAGAGGAAGAAATCAAACAAATGACATGGTTAAATTTCTGTTGCTCCTCAATGGGTGTGTCCATAAGGTTCCAAAGCTCCAATAGAGTGCTACCCAGATCTTGAAGCTACATTTAAGACATAGTCACCATGAAAAAATGAGTGTAGTATACTTAATGTACAAGTTTCAAAAGTTAAAGGCTGTGCACATCACTTTTGTTAGATACACCATCTAATATAACACCCAGAGCTCTGTTACTTATGTGATGGTCCAATATTGATATTCATAACTTGGCTGATCAGGAAGCAGAAACGGAAACACAGTTAACAATTTAGAGGCATTTATATGATCCAAATTCCCAAAATTTTCAAAAGAAAGGCTGTGCACATAACTTTTGTTAGATACACCAGCTAATATAACACCCAGAGCTCTGTTACTTATGTTATGGTTCAATATTGATATTCATAATTTGGCTGATCAGGAAGCAGAAATGGAAACACAGTTAACAATTTAGAGGCATTTATTTGATCCCAATTCCCAAAAATTTCAAAGTGACTACTTAGGAGTTTAGAACCATTTGTTTGTATGAAAATTAGTATGGTGTAGAGACCTAAACAAAGCTAGGCATATGTACCGCATATACATGCAGTCAAATGACTCGGAATAAAATGTTAGCATTATTACCGCTCGTTACTTTAAGCATATTAGATCTATAATAATATGGAACAGGGGTAATAAATATTAAAAGGTTATTAATTACTGTATTACCTTCTTTAACCTTTGTTGCTTCATTTGCCTTAGTGAAGTAACTTGACTGGTTAACCTGGCAAGAGTCTCATTGCTTATGCTTTTTGGTTGAGCATTTAGCCCACCGAGTAAACTTGGATGAATATCACTTAATATAGTCTCAAACTCAAGTGACATGACAACTGAAATATCATGAATTGCACTTGTGTAACCATTCACTTGTTGCAAACGAAGCCTCTGCAAAGGAACAAAATAACTTCACAGAAAGAAAAAAATGATTTACATATTACTGCCAAACTAGAGAAAGTATGTACAAACTACCTTTTCTGACTGAAGATCCTGAAGGCGCAATTTTAGTTCTTGCAATTTTTTAATTGTCAAATTCAGTTCATTAACTTGAATCTTAGCAGCACTAAGAGCTTGGTCATTTCCAGCTATCTCGGCAGAAATTTGTGCAATATGCATTTCTGTGTCCAGAAACTCTTTCATCCTTTCTTGTTTCTTTGACCTCAAGTTCTCTAATACAGGATGTATGTTGGAAATTTTCTCCTTTATATTTCCCTTATTCTCATACTGAAAAAGGAAAAGAGTCAATAAAAGAACAATACAATGGCTAGTCAAATAGACAACAGCTTATTTACCAATGGAACACGTTGCCCCAGAGCAGAAGCTATTGTAGCAATTTCAGCCTCAGAGTCTGCTAAAGACTGGTGCAAATCAGCTTTATATTTTCTAGTTTTTTCCACCTTAATTCGGTAAATATCAAGGCATTCCTGTTCAAGCTGAAGAAGCATCTTGTCTCTCTCATTTTCACTTTCCCCAATTTCATCCCATATTTCCTAAATTTAAAAAAAAATCAATCATGTAGTTCTGAGCACAAGACCAATAATCAAATTAGTATACAGATTTCAAATGCAGTTTCTTGTCCAAGATTACATAATACCCAACTAAGGAGGTTTAAACTTTACCATTTGTTTCCTTATTTCTTTTATGCAAAGGATTCTAAAAGAATTAAATATTTGAAGTTTATGGACGAATAAAAATAACATTGTCATCCCAAAATACAACAA